TTCGGTTTTTGCATAAAGAAAGGCAGAAAATTGTTTTCTTTGATAATAATCTGAACAATTGATGATAAAACTGTACTGCACAATTGAAAAATTATTAAAATCTATGAGCATAGATAGATGGCTCTAAGGTGTCTATATTTGAAGTATGTGACACTTACGCAATTCGAAGCATTGTAATTATGCTGGAGCAGTACGGATTTTCTCTGCAACGTTAATCTTGTGAAAAAATCATTGGTTTCTGATGCGTTATTGAGGTTTTTTTTTCCAGCACTGTGGCAATTTTGTAGCAGATGATTGATCAGTCATAACAAAAAAGAACATAATAGTGGTCAATCAGTGTAAGTTTGGTAATTTTCCAGTTACTAAAGTGTCTTTTCCAGGTCCAAACTGGAGAGTAGGAAGACCCTGCCCCGACTGAGTCTGAAGGAGTATATGGTGATAGTGGGTGGGTTTGGACTGAACCAGCAGCCGATTGATGTGGTGGAACAGTTCGAGTCCAAGAACAACGAATGGTCACTCTTGCCAGTAAGTATCAATCAAGTGTTCGTCAGTTTTCACTGAATCATTGACTTACAGACCCTTAAATTTTTCATAAGGGGCCTTTGACGCCATTATATACTAATTTTGAGTGGGCCTAAAAAACGCAATGTTTTGGTTAAACATTTTTCAAAAACTTGCCTGCGGCGCAGAAAATTTGCTCATAAAGGGTCTTTTTTTATGACTTGGGAGAGAAAAAAGTCGACAAAGTTATTGAATATTTTGAAACTCCGACCCCCCCCCCCCCCGAGAAAATCTTAGATCCGACCCTGACTGAATGCCTTGTTGTTTACGTGCCGCAGCGAAATTTTTGTGCATTTAGTTTGTTCGAAACAGCAAAAGTTTTGTTTAACTTTTCGGAATCCGAATCACAACGTAAATACGTTCAATGTGAGGTCACTTTCGATCACCTGCAAAGTTTTAAAATTTCCTTTAGATCACAAAGCTATTTTTAGTTCTCCTGAAATTTCCGAAAGTCTATTTACTATAAATTTTCGCACCGCTCAAAAAACTTGGAGGATTTTTCGGTCCCTTCTTGTGAGAGTTTTTGACCAAAAATTGCTTTTTTTCAGTGCGAGCTCACTCGTGAAACATGTATTTATTGGCGCCTGTTGAAAAAGTATAGAATGGGTTTGTATGAAGAGTTATTACAATGTGAATTTTATGGGCGGTCAGATGGTTAAGAGTTGTGGGGGGAGGGGGTGGGTGGGTTCGCTTACCTTTAAAACTGGCCATTAAGACGATTTATCCACAAGGGAAAGGACCAGTTTGGGTTTTTTCTGGGCTGGGAAATGTTGCTTCACACTCAAACAACAAGCAGGGATCATAATGGGCCTAGAACATCCCACCTTCTGATTGAGAGACGGAGACGTAACTATGTCACCACCGTGATATGATAATGATACGTTTCTCCTTTTGCTTCAGCCCCTGCCCACACGTAGACGTTATGTCAGTGCCACCCAACTGGGAGGGCAGATCTATGTGATAGGGGGCTATGACAATGCGAACAGACTGAGCAGTGTGAGTGTGCTAGACTGTAGGGTAATGCAGTGGAAGACAGTGGCCAATATGAATGTGAGGAGGGGACTGGCAGGGGTGGTCTCTTACAGGGACAAGGTACACCACCTTTTTAAGAGTAATGAACGTAGTGAATCTTAATGGTGTTCTCCCAAACTATTCTAATTTGTATTTATAAATTTTTTATAAATAACTTCGTAACTAGATATCGTTTGGAAACAATTTATTATTATTATTATATTTATATAGGTCTTGCTGATTGTTTTTTTCAGGATTTTTCGCGGTTTGACTTGTGATTTCTTCTTAAGTTCAGTGCATTTCTATTGTTAAAAGGAAGGCAAACTCTACTATTGAACAGCAAAGTTGTAAAGGTCACGAAAAACGTGATCGGCTTCTAATTTTAAAAATGGAAATTAATTATCAGGTTTCCCAGCGAAAAAAAATGGATCCAGTTTTCTCAAATTGGGTTAATTTAAAAAAAGTGTCCATCATAAATTGATCTACAAATTCATAGAGCTATAAGGTCATCTAATTTTTAATTCGAAATTCAAAGTTGAAGATTTTTGAAAAAAGATGTCGTTTTTTTTCAGTTTCCTTGCGTTCATTACTCTTTTCCAACTGTCAGTTGGCTATGTTTTTAATTTACAGTCCTCCCTTAAAATTTGCAAAAAAAACAGACTGCAGAATTTGATTTAATACAAAAATTTAAATTGAAATCAACAATTTTTGAAATTTTTTCGTTTTTTAAAGGACATCTGATAGGTGCAATCATTTTGCTGTACCCGTTCCCATCTCGAGGAGGCGGATGAATTTGAGAGCCATCCGAGTAGGATTAATTGGTTCAAAGTAATAGTTTACGTGGTTTTCTTAAAATAAACCATGTTTCGAAATATCCATGTTTTTTTTTAAAGTAATGTGAACATTAATTGCAAGCGAAGTGAAAGTTTTTTTTCGGTGAACCTCATAATTGACTTTGTAATTTTTTGACCCCAAGTCTTAGCTATTATCTTTAATATTTAATTATAAATATTCAAGGAATAGCGCACTTATGAAATCAAATCAAAATTATTCTTTCATGATAAAGTAGTCCATTAACAAATGATGATTGATTTTTAGCTTCACAAGTTGATTTTAATTCGGAAAATTTCCAACTGAATAAAAGGTTTTTTTTCCGTAGTTTCCTTATTTTCGCTTAGGCTATTCCAGTCGATTGTTTGACGTGTTTACTGGTGTATAATGTTAAACTAGACGCTTATAAAAATCTGCTGTTTTTCATCCAAGTGTTTGTATTTTCTTCAGTTTGGGGTATTTTTTTTCTTTTTTTTTAGGACGAGAGGCTCAGTTTTGTCCATATTTTTAAATTTTTCTTCTAATATGAGTTGAATAATGTCTGAAAGGTCCCAAACTGATTAATCGCCGATAACATTTCTTCTACATAGATCTACGTGGCGGGTGGTTTTGACGGCAGTTCTCGTCTCTCCAGTATGGAAGTGTATGACCCAAATTTGGACAAATGGGAGATGATGCCTCAGATGACCATAGGCAGAGAGGGCTCCTCCCTTGTAGTGTGTGCTGATATGATATACTGTATCGGGGGATACGACGGAATGACCATACTGCGATCGGTAAGTTTGTTGATCGTTCCGACCGCGTCACTGATAGTGACAGGAAGAAGAATTAGCTTGTTTGTTTTCCGTCCGGTTTTGAATACCGCAAAAGAGCTCATAAGTAAGCAATTGTGGTATTGTATTAAAACCCTATCAGCCGTTATTGGGATTACGAAAAAAATCAACAACTTTTTCCCAGTTAAGAGGTCCGAATTTTTTCGTTTTTCATTCAGGTTGACAAACGAAATTTTATGAAAGACAATAAACTTTCAATTTATATCTAAGTTAGCCTGTATTAATTTAGCTAATAATACTTCTTGTTTTTTGCAGCTTTTGGCTTAATTTAATCGGCTTTAACTGTAAAATAAGCAACAGAAATCTTGGCTCCACTGACCGAATTGTTTTCCACAAGTGCAGCGTATTGTCATATTACGAAGTTCACTTTTTTCGACGAAAGTGTTCATTAAAAATGTTCACATAACCTGTTTCTGAGAGTGATGAGAAAAAACCGAGTGATTTTCACTTATATAGGTCTTGATAATTATTGTTTGTATTTTTTAAGGAAAATAGTATCAAAATGCTCTGATACAACTACAATTAATGTATGCATGAATTGCCTCAGGTATATAGGCTTTTTTAAGAGTAATGAACGTAGTTAATTACTCTATAGGTCTTGGTATTTTTTTTGTTTTTTTTTCAGGAAAAATTTGTTCGCGCTCACATTTGATTTTTCGAGGTTGATTTTTTTCTTTTTAAGTTTAGTTCCTTTCCTTTTAAAAGGAAGGCGAGCTTGGTTATCGAACAGCAAAAATAAAAGTTTGATCGACTTCTAATTTCGAAATTAGAATTTATTATCAGATTTCCCAGCGAAATCTGAGCTAAGTTCGTCTGCTAAAAGGTGAGTAAGTTGCGCTCTCCAATTACGAGAGCGGATATAGCGCGAATAAACGTAATCAATGGGTTATTTTTACGAGAAAATGCCAATCATAAACAGTTCTTGGAATTGAAATAGCTCTAAAATGATTTAATTTTTTTAAAAAAGTAAAACAACGAAGGGGTTTTCAATGATATAGGTCTTGATGGTTTTGTTTGATTTGGTGATATGTTACAATAGGTGGTAATTTTGAGTATAGTGCATGTATCAAATTCAGAACTATTATCCATAATATAGTCATTTCACTTTCAATCAATTGTTCTACTGCTAAAATAGTTTTTGTAAACACATTATTCTGCCAAATGAAATGCAATTCAAAAACCAAAATTTACACTTCTTTTGCCAAAAAATTTGGCTTTTCAAATAAATTTTAAATAATGTGCGAAGTATAACAAAAAGCGATTCCAGCTATTGAAATTGAGCTTACCACCCTTAGTAATATATCAACTTTGATTTTTGTGTTTCAGGAGAAAGTTCTAAAATGCTCTATTAACTACATAAAGGCATCATAAATATCAATGCATTTATAAATGCTTTTAGGTATCTATGTTTTTTTCAAGTTTTGGTCAAGTTCATTTGCTAAAAGATAGGAAATTCGCGCTCTCCAATTACAAAAGTAGAAAAGGTGCAAAGATTGTGATATTTTCTAAGTTTCGAAAGTGGATTTTGTTTCTTTGTAATAAAAAATTAAACCTTTGATCCAGTTATCTTATATTGGGATCGTTTTTCAAAAAAACGGCATTAGTAAAGAGTTCTTGAAGTTCAAAGAGTTTTAATATGATGTATTTTTTCTGCGAATTACTTTCAACTGTTTTTTTTTTCGTTTTTTTTTTGTGTTCTGTTACACGTGTCCAACCTTTTGTTGGCTTAGTTCAATTGCATGTTAATAGCATGTGCTTGATATCCGCTTAGCTAGTGACAAGTGCTTGATTATCTAGAAGAGCACATGGCGCAGTTGGAAGTACGTGAGAAAATACATCTATAGGTCCATGTTTTGTAGCCGGCTCATAGAAAGTTTTTTTTTCAAGACTGCTTCTTTTTTTGCTTATTTAGAATTATTTTTGCCGTTTTTGTCGCTTGTGTTAGCGAATTGCAGCTAAGTGTCTGTGTTAAGTAAGTTCAGCCTTAAATCTAGCCCTGGAAATATTTGGGTTTTCCGGAGCTGACTGATCGATTGATGATTTTTTGTACTAGTCAGTTGCAATTTGGTATACACATGCGCGAGAAAATCATTGAAACGTCAAAATCTATTAGGTGATTCTATTTATTTGTAAAATTGTTTATTCTTGAATAGAGTTAAATGCAATTAATTTATTTCAAGAAACACCTTGGGGGAAGGGAACGCTCAACCGTCAATGTGTTTTTAAATCTCAATTTAAATGTTAAGTCAAGATTAAGACTTTTCTCATGCATGGGCATTTTATTTTGATGACCACAGAATTGTCTTGAATACTTATAACTCGTTATTTCTTTGCTCAGTTGGGCCGAATATTTTATCAATAATTGTTTTGGAATTTTAAACCTTTATTCAAATGCTTCGAAGTTTACTCTAACTGAAATATAAGCTTTTCTTGAAAGGATAGAGTTTTTAGATAACATTCGACGCGAAACTAAGATAAAGAAAATTGTTATTACCTTTGAAGACATACCGCTGCTTGGTTGAAAAGTTAGAAACAAACTTGAACGTTCAGTTGGTGACTCAGTAAAGTTAGGTTAGGTTTATCAAAAACGAACAGTCAATGATAAAGGATCCTTGAACATCAAATAACTTTACGGTGATGCATTTTTTTGTGAAAGTCGAAAGCGGTGACGCATCGGTAGTGATGGCGCTCAGCAATCATATGATTGCGGGTTCAATTCGCCTGTGCGCTGCAAATTGCAAAGCTCCTGTAAGATAGTTATAGCTTAGTTACCCTTAAAAAAATTATTTTCCTGGTTAGGCCTCTAGCCGGGTTAATAAAAATGAGAAGTAAGCTTTGATGTTAATCTGTCGTCCTAGGTGAACAGGTTCGATCCCCGCGAGGGTCGTTGGATAACAGTGACTCCTCTCTCAGTAGGCAGATCAGGAGCAGGTGTGGCAGTGGTAGATGATATGATATACGTGTGTGGGGGATTTGACGGAAGCCAACATCTCTCAGGTTTGCTCCCTACTTTCAACCACTGCTGATAATGAGTAATTTGTTTAGGTTTGTTTCAGTAACAGTGGAAAACTTGAAGAAACTTTAAGCCAAGTAATTTCACAATCACTCGGAAATAGAGTGAATTGAAGTCAGTTTTCAAGAGTCCATGACTTTAAAGAAAGTGTTTTTCATTAAAAGATTTTTATAAGTAGTTTTTTTTTGGAAAACATTTGTCTGTTTATTATTGTTCCAACCTTTTCATGAAGTGGGATGGTACTGTGGCGTACGTTTTTGGTTTTTTTCCTCCGGTTTTCGATACCCCAGGGAAGGCTGGTAGGGGGTCAAATGTGGTATCGTGTTAAAGCCTTATTGATTGTGATTCTCCAAAAATTAAACAGCAAATGGCGCAAAGAAAAGAAGCTCAACTGGTGGATTTTTAATTTAAGAAAGCCCATCGAAATGAAAAAATTGCCTCCTTTTGATCAATTTTACTTAAATTCAATTGACTGAGATAGTGGAATAATTTGACCAATGTTATAAAGTTCTTGAAATTCGAAGAGCTTTTGCTGATAAATTTTCATCTTGGCAATTGAATGTTTTTTGGAAATGTTTCGCTTCCCTTGAGATCATTTAAACTCTTTCATATGTCTGTTGGCTATGGTTTTTTCTTCTAATACAGGCGTGGAGTGCTATAACCCACGGATGGACATGTGGAGTTCGGTGGCCAACATGCACAACGCCAGATGCTACTCCAGCACAGCCGCACTGGAAAAGAAACTGTACTGTGCAGCAGGGTAAGCATCAGCCACCGTGGCCGTTGTTTTTGTTTCTCTCCTGACAGAAGCACCCTTTTCAAACTGTCACAGTCTTTACACTTGCGAAGCTAGTGTATTAGTACAAACCTTCTTTTTTCCAACCTAAGTCGCAAATATTGGTGCGGCACTTTTATGGTGCGGGACCCTAATATAATAATGGTGGGGAACCTTTGCAGCTTTTTGATAGCATGTGTCTTGACATTCGAACAGTAATAAATTGACACAGTTGATGCATTTTTAATTCATCAAATGAACCGAAAAAAGCTATTTGTTTCGAATAACATCACAATAATAAAAACTCGATTTCAGGAATTTTCTAACTCAATATATCTCGCAATTTTTTAAAATGCATAATTTATACATAATTTGGCTTTATGCTTTGCTATTTGTTACATGCAAAGTTAGTGTGGGTGCCTGCAGTTTGTTATATTCCAAATTATTAATTGCAAAATTGAGTCTATATGTATTTGGTGCTGAATCGCATTAGCAATTTGTTAGCATATGTAGCTGCTTTATTCGTGACTAGTGTTTGTAAGTTGTTAAGCTTGAGTGGCTGAGGGGATAGTGCGTGAGACTCAAAATCTCTTGATTGCAGTAGGTCGCAGATTCGGATCCTACACGTAGCCGAGTTTTTGCTAACTCGAGGCTTATTTCTATATTTTCTCTTTTCACTTGATAGAGCTGATTTTTGGTCGTGTTCTCGCAAGTGTTTGCGAAGCGCAGCTTCGCCTCTGTGTGAAACTTCAAATTTCTTGACTGAAACACATGCGGAGCGTAATGTGATGGTTTGTTGCAACTGTTTTTCAACCTAAGTCGCAATTAAATTCTTAGTGTCTTTTTTGGATCATTTTTTGTAGTTTGAATTGGCAGTATATACCATGTATTTTGACATTTTATTAGTAATCAACAGTTGATGCTTTTCAATTCTTTAAATGAACTGAAAAACCGCTATTTGTTTCATACAATGGTTTACAAATTTCGATTTTAGAAATTTCATCACTTAACATATTTTTGAAAGGCATAATTTATACTTATTTTGGCTCAAAACATTCCAATTTAATACATGCAGAAAAATGAGGTTTATGCAAAATTTGTGTTTTTGTACATTTTAAAGCTCCTGAAACTTCTGTCGCTCTCTCGCTTAGGTTTGCGAAATCGTTTGGCCTCTGTGTTTGAGTGCTCAGTGTTTGAAATGGGCTTGTTTTTTTGAAAAAGACCGTTTTTACCCAATGTCTCTTGGTTTGCTCGAACTCGATTAGATTATGGATTGTTGAAGTATTGTGAGAAACTCTCTTTTTTTAGTTAATCAGCCGCAGGCCTAATCCGAAGGTTAATTGTTAAAAGTTTCTATGCGTTTCTTTAATAGGGGGAGAAGCAAAATATCTTTCAAGTCAGAATGACATTCCTTGATTTTTTTATATGGAAATTGGAACTGTTAGATCGCTAGTAGCTCTTGTTACGGCGGTAAAGTTGTATATGATGCTAAATCGTAATAATTCGAACTAGTATAACTGGGTATATTCGTATAAGACCCTGTATACATTATTATATGTATGATAAATTGAACAATATTGTATTTGTAAAATAGCACCAAAAAACTTATGTGCTACCAACTAAAACGATTAAATTTTTCAGTCCAGTAGTAGAAGAGTTAAATTTTTAGTTCAGTCGTAGAAGATTCAAATTATTCTATAAAATTGTAAGGTCTTTATCGTCAGTAGAAACTCGTAATTGCAAGTACCGGAAACAGAGTTTAAAATTGGTTAAGATTTGTCTAGTTATTGTATTAGATAAACAAAAGGGAGAGGAGGACTAAGAGGGTTATCTCTTAAATAATAAAGTTTAAGTCCAAGAACAATATAAGTTAGATTTTAGTGAAAGTATATTTGAAGATAACGTTTACATTGAAATTTTGAATTTGAAATGCGAAGCAGTAAGTTCCCATATTTGAAGTTTTGAATCAATCGCAAAGTCACTGACTTGATTTTGTAAAACATTTCATTGCCTGATTTTGCTTAGTTGTAAAAAGTCGGGGTCAAAATATTTAAGTTCTAAAATCTATTCGTGGAATTGCACCTGCTTATTGAACATAGCTGTGATCAAGATAAAAAAATCACAAAATCAAAAAATGGTTTATTTGTTGGCTACCGGGATTTGAATACCCCGCCACTCGTCGAGCAGTCCCATTTCGTCGCCACTATACCAAGTGAACCTCATTATTATCGGGTTTATTCGGTTTTAAACCAAAAACGCAACATTTCCACGCGAATGCGCTTTCCATCCTTTTTCATTTATCACTGTTTGTGTTTAGATACGATGGTGCAACTCTGTTGAATTCAGCCGAGCGGTTCGACCCTCTGTCCAATAAGTGGTCACCTGTAGCCGCAATGTCAACTCCTCGATGTGATGCAGGCATTTGCGTCTATCAACGATATTAGTGTACACGCTCCAAAACCTCTATTTAAAGTCATCGCAAAATAATGATTAGGTCTTTTCTGTTAATCTGTTAACATTGAATAATTTCCTTAACCCATTACTGATTTAGCTTGGTACTTGCATGTGAGACCCCAAAAGCTAAGCCTACCCCCAATTTCCAGGAAAAAACAACGCCAGAAAACTTTAAAATCACCTAAAATCAGGGCTGTCATATTGTTAACTAAAACGTTTTTAACATGTTAACATGTTAATTATATGAAAAAAACACGTTAAAAACAAAATTGAGTTTTAAAATCACTCATTGAGTTGTTTAAAGAGAAAAGCCAGCTTTCCAGCCTTCTCGACGCCCAAAGAACTTCGGAGTTTTCCATAAGTGAGTCCGAGAGTTGAGAAACACTGCTCCAATCCTGCACTGGAGGAGATAGCATTGGCCAGTGTCGATGCATAGTCGACCAATTCTTTCGAGAATCCCAGTCGAAGTCCACTTCTCCACCAAGCTTCACTCTCGACCTTTTTGTAACCCTCAGCAAAAAGGTATTCGTTATAGGGAGGAACTTTTGCCATGTAATTTGTGAGCTCCGGCATGATATTTTCACCAGCCGTTTCACGGATGTAGTCGATGGCTTGTCTTGTTTCATCCGGATTCTGGTCCTCTCCGGCATACTTGTGATCGAGCAAATTAGCCGCTAGGACGACGGGTAGAATGGCCTGCTGAACTCGCTTAGCGACGGCACTTGCATACTGAATTGGTGCTTGTCCGGCAACATTTTTCCAGAGCTTGAATGTTTCCGACAAAGTGCAAGAATTTTTCTGCAAATTGTCCAACGTAACCCCGACTGATTTCATGAACTGAAGAATATCTTCTGCAGATCTCTTCAGAGATATTTCTTCCATATGACGAAATACCATGTCGGTATTCTTCAGATGCTTGTTCGCTATTTCTGCAAGCATAAGCCAGTTCTTCTGGAACTCCTTCCTGACATGCTCCATCTGCTCACGCGTGACTTGAACAAGATATTCTGTTGTGTGACTTTCTCCAATAGTACTCATCGTGTTCACTAGATAACATTTGCCACAATGATAAAAGCTGACACCGAGAACAGGTTCATTGGTCAATGTCGACCAACCATCGATAGCAAGTGTGACGTTGGAGCCCGACACCATTCGCTTCACTTTCGTTTGTTCACTTGCATAAATTTCGTCCAGTAACTCTCCACCAATCCTTCGGCGATCTGGAACAGTTGTTCCTGGTCGCAGAAATTGGACAAGCTTCGCGAGATGCTTGTTTGACGCGGCATTAAACGGAGTGTTGGTTGCGATGAAATATCGAGTCACAAGGATATCGCTCTCATGCTGCCTCGTGGGATTAGTGGAGATGACATTGAGAGCTGTCTGTCTCTTCTTTGGAGCCGGCGGAGCAGATGATGTTGTAGTGGCAGAAGATGTGGATTGCTCCTGGATGTCATCGTCATCGTCCACATTCCGGCAATCCCTCATGTGCTTCTCCATGCGTGCCGCATTGTTCACAACCTCAAAACCGCAGGTCTTGCATTTGGCCCGTTTAACGCCGCCAACGATAATCTCTTTGAAGCTGTACCACACGTCTTTCTTCTGCCGCGGCATGACACAATCTGAAATAAATATTTGTTAGTGTATGACGCATGCTGTTAGTACATCATGTGTTAAAAACAATGGTACCAATAGGTGTTATTAACATGTTAAATATAGGTCTGTTAATAACACCTTGTTAATAACATGACAGCCCTGCCTAAAATGTGAAAATCGATAATTTTAGGTTGGGATTAGGGTAAAAACGCCCAAATTAATGTATTTTGCATATTTTTGTTACATAATGTTCTTTTGACTTAAAAATTACAAAAGAAAACCTTATTTAATAATTCCCGTTTGATTAAAACAGGTGTTATGAAAATGTGTGGGATTGGAATTTTTATTATTTTTATTTTTTTTTTGAAACGTGTTTGAAAAATTTTTCAATTTTTTCAAAAATTTGGTTATCAAAAACTACCCTACCGATTTTCAAAAAAGTGGTACCAATGGAAATTCCGCCCACTCCCCTGTGTGCCTGCATAATCCCCTAGTCTCTTTTCACCTTACTCCACTTTCTACAGCTCGAAATTTGAAAAACTACCCGAAATTTGAAAAAGTGTGTGGAGGGAATTTTTGGCCCAAATTTTTGGGTTTTATACATTTTCTCCAAAACTACCATCCAAATCTGAGATTTTGGGTTCAACGGATAGAACAGGATGTGGGAAGCTCCCCTGCCTAAGCGGCTACACCCCATTTATTACACAAAAAGTTCTGGCCCTACGAAAAGTCAAATTTTTGATTTTTTGACCGTTTTTAAAATTTTCTGGTTTTTCTCAAAACCTACTCTACCAAACCTAAGATTTTAGTTTCAATTGAAAGGAAGGGTTGTTATAAGCGCTCCTGCAAAAGAGGTTTTACCCTATTTTTTTTTTAACACAAAAATAATGACCCTCGGAAAACTCGAATTTTCGATTTTTTTAAACCATTTTTTGAAACTTTTCGCGATAACTGATTAGGTTCAATGGATTTTAGGTTCAACGGATGAAAAGTTGTAAGAAGCTTCCTTGCATAAGCGGTGACGCCCAAATTTTTTTGCACAAAAAGTTATGGCCCTCGGAAAAGTCGAACTTTCGATTTTTTGTTGGTTGTTGAGAAAATTTTTGCTGGTGGTTGAGATATATGTTATGAAAAGAACTAACTTTTAAAAAAACGCAATTTTTGACCCTTAATCGTCTGTGGACCAAAAAGAAAACACTAAGAAGTAGCCCAGGGCTATGGTAACTCAATTAGAAAAGATTAGAAGATTGAACTTGGTTTAGAATTTGGTTTTTTAGATGTTTTTTTTCTCCATTATTTTGTTTTGTATCGCAAGTGGTGCGAAGCTCAGCATCGCCTCTGTAGGGTAATTTTGTTCCCCTTTTTTTCTAATTTTCAATTTAGAAATTTCCATAATCAATCTCCACGCGACATAACAGAAAAGACGAACACCTCAAAATTTTCTACGACTAAACGAGTAGCCTGTAAATTATGTATTTCTCTAGATGAAATTTTGTAAGCTATACTTAAATTTGTTGATGTTTTTTGCACATAGTGTAATTGATGCCCAATTTGATGTTTTTCTTGTAAAAATTCGTAAATTTTCAAGACTTGCGCGATAGCAGTTAGTAAATTGTAGTTCAAATTAAATCAATTTAAAAAAGAAAAAAATTCGATCTTAATTTATTTTCTCTGTTCACGAATTGTGTCAGCATAACCAGGTAAAGCATCAAGTAAATGAAAATACAAAATTTATTCGAAATTTGAAAATTTTATCAGAGGTACAAAATATACGTGAGCTGAGCTGCAAATTTGGCATCATATTCTACCAAAATACTAAATAATACTGCAGTTGAAAAGTTACAAACAACATATTTTCAGAAGTGGCAATGGGTGTACCGAAAACAGAGGTCCAAAAATCCGATAAAACTGGCAAAACAACAACTCCCGCCTCCAAAATGCGGAGGGGAAAGAAAAAAGTCGGGCAACCACTTGACCCGGCCCTCCAAAAAATTCTACACAGAGAAACGGTGACAAACAACGAAGCAGTTGCTTCAAGTCCGTCTAAAATGTCGAACAAATCGAATTTAACCGAGGAAGCTATTGATGAAATTCTCAACAGATTAGCGACATGTGAAAATTCGATTGATAAAAGTGATTTGTTCATTTTGTTTAAACTTGAAAGCTGGAAAATTTTGTCGAGAAATTTGGACCGAAATTCTGAAGTTCTAGCTAATGTAATCAAGTCGTTGTCTTCTGGTCTTATACTTAATATCGTACCAAAGCTTATGGTAGATTTACTTACTAAATTTCAGTCAACTGAAGAAAACTCTGACTCGGCGAAACTGTTGCAAAATTGTCTGAAGGTTTTATGTGAGAATAGTGAAAGTAGAAAGGAGTTCTTTCAGTCGTTTGAAAGTCATTTGTTTAAATTTGTGGATTCGCCCGTTGAGATGCACGCGAGTTTGATCGAGAATCTGTCTGTCGTTGGAAATGAGTCGCAAGGTAATGTTTAGCCGATATTTTTCTCTTGCTTGGGCCATGTAGTCCTGAAAATTATCTTAGAAAAACAGGTCCATAATGACGTTGAGGACCGTTTTTGGAAGATTTTTACCAAAAGAGCGATTTTTAACCGTGCTCTCCTCTCAAAAAATAAGTATATTTGTCGCCTTTACAAAATTATAAGCGTTATTACACAAGCAAAGTTGAACTCTCTTTTTTTTCAAACCTAATTCGCAAATATTAGTGTGCTTTTTGAAAGTGTTCGTTATTGTTCCGACCATGGTCTTTAGAAAACTACTCTTTAGTAAGTTTTTTTTCTCCAAATTAGTATATTCTTTCCTGCTTGGTGTGATAAAAGGATATGGCGTAAAAAAATAATTTAGGCATATTAGACAGTCATAGTAATATAGGCAAATTGGACAAAAATTTTCGTCGAAAAATGACCAGAAAAACTTTAAAAGTTTTAAAATTATTTTAAAAGTTTTTGCAGAACATTTTTGAATTTTTTTGAAGCTTTCGGTTCCCAAATGTAAAGCTGAAAAACTCCAAAAACAAGTTTTACTTTCTTAAAATTAAGTCTTAAGGTCTTAAATTAGGCATAATTCAGCTGTTGTAAGCCTGCTCGCTTGCTTTATTCGCTCGAATTAAGACCAAAAATCAAAATTTTCCAACCGGTTTTTTTTCGACGAAATTTTTTAATATGGTTCGAATCACAACTGAAAGGGCTCTAATATGATATATCAGGTCTTATGATTATTTGTGGTACCTGATTTTGCGTGGAAAACAAAAAGAAAAAACTAAAACACGCCTGAATACAAAGTTCCTCCCATTTTTCAAATGGTCGGAACAATAACTAGCTATTAAGTACAGCCAATGCTAAGGATATTGCTTAGCAACTAATAGAACTTTAGCTTCAAGGTATCATGGATCTGTAGTGAAGGAACAAAAATGAGAAATGTAAAATTGTTTTTTTTTTGCAATTACCAAACTTTTCCCGTCAATTTTTTGAGCTGACTATTTATCTAGATTCTATTTTTGATTATTTTAGGACCATTCAAAGAAAGTACTCGAAGTCTTATTCTGTCAATGCTTACTAAACTCGAATCAAAACTACACTTCAAAAAGACCTCAGTCGTACCCGCCATTGAAGTCTACATGAACTACCTTTGCAAAGACATCCTGAACAAATTGGACCCTAGATCAGACGGAAAAATAAACCCGACAGAAGCGAAAGTGACCTTCTCGCAACTATGTCGGAAACTGAAAGACTTCGTGTACGATAACAGAATAAAGTATATTCCGTTTGTTTATGTAACAGCAGCTTCGATTCATTCGTCGTTCGCGGAACATTTAGTCCGAGTATTGTGGGATTCGTTCAAGTTGGACCATTCGTTGATGTGTTTGCATTGGCTCGTCAGTTTCGTCTGTGATACCAATTTAGGAATGGAGCAACATTTTATTTTAAAGCACCCCAAGTTCATAAAATAAATTTGAATCGAAAATTAAATTAAAGTTTAATCATAATCAAGTTAATCAAATTCAAGTTTAATAAAGTAATTAGTCAAATTAAAAAAAACATTATCTTAAAACATTCAAGATAATAATCCGATTTTTAAAAAGAGTTTAGGTTACCATCTGATAATCTACTTGAAAAAAAAATGACTTTAATTTTCGGAATTTTTGATGGGATCTAGAATATAGAAATGAGACAAATTAGTTTTTACAATCAAACATATATATCGGGAATGGTTTGAGTTTTGTGTGTTTGATACCCTGAGTTAGGATGATTCAATCAAGTAAAGCCATATAAACACTTTTCATTGAAATAGTCCTCAAATTGAATGCTTGATTTAAATTATCAAGTATTTTAGTTAACCCGGTCTCAGTAAGTTTTTAAGGGTCTGTTGACTCTGTTTCGAGAAACTATTGTTCAAAATTTGAATTTTGTTTCGGGGAGTTTCAAAATAAATTGAGGTGATTAATTCAGTGCCGTTGCCATTGGTGAAAGACGTGATGCGACATATTTCATTATTCATGTGTAAACTAATGAAGAAAGAGTGCTTCTCTGCTGTGCGAGGGGGAAGGAAGCGCTCTTCTGTTGGTCTTCTGACGAAACAAGAGGAAACTTCTTCAGAAGAGTTTGTGGTTAAGCAGGCCTTTGTGTATGCGTTTTATGTAAGTACAAAATAGAAAATGAGTAGATGTTTTTTAATCAATAACAGAGCCTACAGTGTAACTCACTAGTAATAAACACGAGCATGTTATGCTACTAGTTTCAACAGTTCGAAAAAACAAATTGGTTTCTGAAAAATTTAAGCGCTTTATTCTCATGGTTCATGTTTGACCTAAGCGTTTTCCAAAAATCAAAGATCCCATGTGTTAAATATTTGGCTCGAACTCATTATGGCATCAGCACAGTTGGATTTTTGTAATAGTAGCTTATTAAAGACAGAATTATTTACCTCGCCTGTACTCTTTCCTTCTTCTGGGTTCTTCTACTTCTGAACGTGAATTATGAAAATGAAAATTTTGTACTTTTTATTACTTTTAATTGTATTTCAGGCTTTGACAGCCTTGCTGGTTCAATTCGATCACGAACTGACAGAATCCGAACTGCAACTGGCCTTCGTGAAGAGTCTCCGATTCGACAAGTTTATCTGCAGCAAGCTACAGCCTCTGGCTCTCATTCCGAATGAACTCAGCAAACAGTTCATGTCTATAGCAGAGTCTCATTCCAATTTGTTTCCCAATATGCGATGTTTCAGGTTAGTTGTTTATACGATTTTGTTGGAGTAGTATCCTGTTTGAGAAACGGAATGATTTTAATTGGAAGTATACACCGTTTAGCTGTACTTGTAGTCAGATTCCGTTTTCAAAAAGAGAAATCTTCCCTCGACGCTGTAATTTCATTAATAGAAATACAAGAAATTATTTGTCGCACTGAAGATAGTCTGCGGTTTTTTTGGATCTTGCTAAAGCGTTCAACTCAATATCTCACGATTTTTTTCAACAAAAAATTGAATAAATGGGTTTCTCAAAAACGGCTATAACCCTTTTCAAAAATTTTCTGAAAAATCGTCAAAAAGCAGTAAAATTGACAAATACAATATCTGAATGGGAAATCTTGAATCACGGAGTGCCACAAGGGACAAATTTTGAGAAATATTGCAAGAACACACTAAAAAAGTGCTAGATGACGTCGATGCTTACATGAAAAGAATCGTCTCACTTCGAATTCAGATAAATTATAACTTCTTTTGTTCAACTGGGAAAATAGAATAGACTCAGTTTGTTCAGAATAATCTCGAAATTAAAGTTTCAAAATCATGAAGATATATCCAGGAATTATCTTGGGACAAGATCTAAGCATATCAGTTCAAGTTGACAAAGTGCTATGCAAAATGACTCAAGGAATCCGTTCACTATAACTTGCAAGGAACGTAGTACTTTTGAATGTTCGGATTATTTTATTCAAATCTTTAGTATAATCCGATAGAACATAAAGAAGTAGAAAACAAATATCAGGAAATCAGTTTTTTCTCTACGGAACCATTAAGCTGCATAGAAACAAAAGAATTTTACAGGTAATACGCCAGAGTCGATCGAACAACAAAAAGGCAGAATCAGCGGAAAGCGACTGCATTAAAAATGGAATTCATTAATGTAGACCTTCCTAGACATGATGTATTAGCTAAGAGGTTACATGGAAATGTTACATGAAAACAGTTTCATGAAAATGTTCTGCTGATAAAAAAGATTTGAATTATAGAAACAGAGAAAACGAAATCCTCTTAATAAACCGAAAATTGCAAAGATAAACAGCTTTATCGTCATAGCAGTTATTCATGTGTTAGCAAAGGATTTCTTTAACCATTATTACGCTTGCAATTAGCAAGCGTTATCAAATCGGAATATTGACTTTTTCGGGTTAACAACTTGTTTGACAATCATTTGAATCACTTGGTATCTTGGTTTATAATGAATTCAAATTTCTAAGCGTCTCTTTCACTCTTAGACTGGAGGTAACGAATACGCCTGGGGTACCAAAGGTCCTGGGTTCGAATCTGAGCAGGCTCTGTTCTTTTTCGAACCGGAAATATCCCGTTTCAAAAAAAAATTGTCGGCTTATTTTTTGTCTGCTTACATTTGTTGGCCTACTAACCTAATTTTGGGTCGTTTGAGTGAACCATAATTTGTATGCTTTCTTCCGGATTGCACTAAACGTTAAAAATCTCATTGTAGATTTTATAGTTCAAAGATTTTCTTGATAGCAATTTCATATTCGCTCAATAACTGAATTTGAATTTTCATTAAACGCCATTGACTGTTTTTTGACGTATTTGCTGCAATTAAAACTTCATTCCAGACAACATTTTTAAGATTTTTATTTTGATCTTAGTAGCTCTTCTTTTCTGTCTGCTAGCTTGCAATGCTATTTTTGGTATCGCTTTGCTTCGGTGTCTTTCATATGGAACCCTTTCATCATCCGGTTCCTTCTCAATTGGTCTAGGGGTAACGCCGTCGTCTTTGCATCCGAAGGTCTGGGTTTCGAGGCTCAGTCGGTCTTCGTTTTTTTTTTCAGTTTGTATACAATTGAAAAAAAAATTGGCTAAAATTGACTTTCATCATTTTTCTGCTAAAATTTTGTCAGCTAATTGCTACATCACGGATTTTGCTTGCGCTGTAAGCAACTTCCAATGCGTTCTAGTATTAGGTGAGAACTTGAAAGATAAAAGTTTTTTCATAAAATCGTTTTTTTTTTCGGCTCAGGTGGTCTGCTCCAAGATTGTCGACTTTGTTGACTGTTTGTAATTTCTTTCAGTTGCTAATTTTATACTCTAATTTCTGGGATTTTTGCTTGGAATGAATTTCTATCGAGACATATTGAGATATTTAAAATTTTGGTAGACGTATTTTTTTCATAACTTTTAAAATGTTTTTTCGACTTCTGATGTTTTTTGTTTTTGTTGTATCGCAAGTGGTGCGAAGCTCCGCTTTGCCTCGGTTTGATATATTTCGGATTGGTGATTCGTTGAACCGATTTAATAGCGGTACTTTAATGCACATGCAATGCTTGCAACCCTAATTTTGACTGCTCAAGTTATGTTCAGAGAATGTTGGATGTTTAGTTTTTCTGAGCCAGATGACTTAGCATTTATTTTTTTGTTTTTTGTGTTTGTTTGCTGTATTTGTAGTCAGATTCGGTTTTCAAAAAGAGAAATCTTCCCTCGACGCTGTAATTTCATTAATAGAAATACTAGAAATTATTCGTCGCACTGAAGATAGTCTACAGTTTTTTTGGATCTTGCCAAAGCGTTCAACCCAATATCTCACGATTTTTTTAAACAAAACATTGAATAAATGGGTTTCTCAAAAACGGCTATAACCCTTTTCAAAAATTTTCTGGAAAATCGTCAAAAAGCAGTAAAATTGACAAATACAATATCTGAAAGGGAAATCTTGAATCACGGAGTGCCACAAGGGACAAATTTCGAGAAATATTGCAAGAACACACTAAAAAGTTGCTAGATGACGTCGATGCTTACATGAAAAGAATCGTCTCACTTCGAATTCAGATAAATCATAACTTCTTTTGTTTAACTGGGAAAATAGAATAGACTCAGTTTGTTCAGAATAATCTCGAAATTAAAGTTTCAAAATCATGAAGATATATCCAGGAATTATCTTGGGACAAGATCTAAGCATATCAGTTCAAGTTGACAAAGTGCTATGCAAAATGATTCAAGGAATCCGTTCACTATAACTTGCAAGGAACGTAGTACTTTTGAATGTTCGGATTATTTTATTCAAATCTTTAGTATAATCCGATAGAACATAAAGAAGTAGAAAACAAATATCAGGAAATCAGTTTTTTCTCTACGGAACCATTAAGCTGCATAGAAACAAAAGAATTTTACAGGTAATACCCCAGAGTCGATCGAACAACAAAAAGGCAGAATCAGCGGAAAGCGACTGCATTAAAAATGGAATTCTTTAATGTAGACCTTCCTAGACATGATGTATTAGCCAAGAGGTTACATGGAAATGTTACATGAAAACAGTTTCATGAAAATGTTCTGCTGATAAAAAAGATTTGAATTATAGAAACAGAGAAAACGAAGTCCTCTTAATAAACCGAAAATTGCAAAGATAAACAGCTTTATCGTCATAGCAGTTATTCATGTGGTAGCAAAGGATTTCTTTAACTATTATTACGCTTGCAATTAGCAAGCGTTATCAAATCGGAATATTGACTTTTTCGGGTTTAACAACTTGTTTGACAATCTTTTGAATCACTTGGTATCTTGGTTTATAATGAATTCAAATTTCTAAGCGTCTCTTGCACTCTTAGACTGGAGGTAACGAATACGCCTGGGATACCAAAGGTCCTGGGTTCGAATCTGAGCAGGCTCTGTTCTTTTTCGAACCGGAAATATTCCCTATCAAAAAAAAATTGTCGGCTTATTTTTTGTCTGCTTACATTTGTTGGCCTACTAACCTAATTTTGGGTCGTTTGAGTGAACCATAATTTGTATGCTTTCTTCCGGATTGCACTAAACGTTAAAAATCTCATTGTAGATTTTATAGCTCAAAGATTTTCTTGACAGCAATTTCATATTCGCTCAATAACTGAATTTGAATTTTCATTAAACGTCATTGACTGTTTTTTGACGTATTTGCTGCAATTAAAACTTCATTCCAGACAACATTTTTAAGATTTTTATTTTGATCTTAGTAGCTCTTCTTTTCTGTCTGCTAGCTTGCAATGCTATTTTTGGTATCGCTTTGCCTCGGTGTCTTTCACATGGAACCCTTTCATCATCCGGTTCCTTCTCAATTGGTCTAGGGGCAACGCCGTCGTATTTGCATCCGAAGGTCTGGGTTTCGAGGCTCAGTCGGTCTTCGTTTTTTTTTTCAGTTTGTATGCAATTGAAAAAAAAATTGGCTAAAATTGACTTTCATCATTTTTCTGCTAAAATTTTGTCTGCTAATTGCTACATCACGGATTTTGCTTGCGCTGTAAGCAACTTCCAATGCGTTCTAGTATTAGGTGAGAACTTGAAAGATAAAAGTTTTTTCATAAAATCGTTTTTTTTTTCGGCTCAGCTGGTCTGCTCCAAGATTGTCGACTTTGTTGACTGTTTGTAATTTCTTTCCGTTGCTAATTTAATACTCTAATTTCTGGGATTTTTGCTTGGAATGAATTTCTATCGAGACATATTGAGATATTTAAAATTTTGGTAGACGTATTTTTTTTCATAACTTTTAAAATGTTTTTTCGACTTCTGATGTTTTTTGTTTTTGTTGTATCGCATGTGGTGCGAAGCTCCGCTTTGCCTCGGTTTGATATATTTCGGATTGGTGATTCGTTGAACCGATTTAATATCGGTACTTAAATGCACATGCAATGCTTGCAACCCTAATTTTGACTGCTCAAGTTATGTTCAGAGAATGTTGGATGTTCAGTTTTTCTGAGCCAGATGACTTAGCATTTATTTTTTTTGTTTTTTTTTCTGATTTAAAGTAATAAATGAGCCTTGATTTCTATTGGCTGAATGGTTTTTGATTTTTAGATTAATTAACTATTGCACTGTCGAAGATATGAAAAGTAACTCATGTAAAATGATCTGTTTTAGCACCGTCAGCTCCTCTATTCCCGATGATGAGAAGAAAGATCTGAGAGTCAAGCTACGCCGAATATTCCAGACTGAATTCGACCTCGAACAGTCCAAATGGGCTGTCGAACCTTTCTTGAGATCAACGCCTGATAAAAAAGATGAAGTGAAAAAGGAAACCATATCAGCTGAAGCAAGCATGATCAAATCAAATGACCTTGATAACGAGTGTGAACATGCGATGGATTTAGAGGATTTAGATGAACTTCATTTGTATCAAAAATTGAATTCTGCCTCTGTGAAAGTCATTTCAGATTGGTTAATTTGAACTTGATTCTCTTAAACTCTTCGATGAAAATTGTTCAATGAAAGCGAATTAGTAAAATTGAAGTTTACGAGAATACATTGTTTTGAGAGATAAAACACAACGACGACATAGCAAATATATGAATCCGCTTTTTTCACCAGCTGAAAAATTGATAAGAGTTTTAGTTTTCACAAGTTATTAAGAGTAATGAACGTATTGAGGACTCTTACATAAGTCTTGCTGATTTTTTTCTTTTTTTAGGAAAAAGACTTAAAATTTGTTCACGCTCAATTTTCGATTTTTCGCGGTTTGACTTGTGATTTCTTTTTCAGTGCATTTCCATTGTTGAAAGGAAGGCAAAATCCACTATCAAAGAGAAAAAATGTATAAATCACGAAAAACTGACTTGTAATCCCAGTGAAATAAAGGTTTTGCCTATTGGTCCAGTTTTCTCTAATTGGGTTAATTTTAACAAAAAAGTATCCATGGGTAAGTGTTCTACAAATTCAAAGAGCTTTAAGGTCATTTATTTTTTTCTTCGCAACTCAAAAGTTGAAGATTTTTGAAAAAAAACAAGTCAGTTTTTGTTTCAGTTTTTTTGCGTTCATTACTCTTTTCCAACTGTCAGTTGGCTATGTTGGGAGCTTATTAACGAAACTGACGAAAAGTATGATGATTTTGTTGATAATGTTTTATTTTTTTCCTGAGTGTTGTGAGTAATAAAAAAATAAAATGAGAAACAACTCAATGTATTGTTCTGGTAGTCCTTAGGAATGATTTTTTCAGATTCGTTTATATCTTTTGTCTGTTGAACAACTATGGATCTCGAAGCAGAAAGTGTAACCACAGTGAAGCTGTTCGACAAGTGGTCCCTCCAAGAGGAGAGTGTGAGGTGTCAGGACTTGTCTATTCAGGACTATGTTGGTATTCGAAACAAGTGTCTCAGATTCCTCCCTCATACTTCTGGAAGGTAAACAAAATGTTTTAGTTATTGTTATAGAAAGAGTGAAGCAATGTTTTAGTAAGAGTAATGAACGTAGTCAGTACTCTTACAAAGGTCTTGGTGTTTTTTAAGTTAGCCGTAGTTAGTGCAAATTTCTTATATGATATTGGTGACCTTGAGCATCGTGATCGGTCAAAAGACAGCATTTTAGGTCATAAAGATCACATCGTGTCAAAATAGGACATGACATAATATTGTCTCAACCATTAAAATTTCTATGAAGTTTTAGTAATGGTCGCCTTTTGAAATGCTAGCAAATCTCACCTGCGGTCTGTCGCCTTACGTTCAGACATCCTCCCATGTTTGACGAGGCTGATGTTCTGGGGTGTTGGGTCTATTAAGTAGTGCTGAGTAATTTGCTCCATTTAGATGTTCATATTTGTTGATAGAACGGATATTGTCAACAAGTTGGCATTAAATATATTTTGTACGTGTAAAGTTTGTAACTGGAAATTTTAAAAGCGGGCACATTGCTCGTTTTGAATGAGTTCTGTCTGTCAGAACTTTTCGCCACTATTTATATAGCATCAGTTATGTTTTTGCTATTAGATACCAAGTGAAGAGATTCAGGAAGGCCTCCTGTCCGATTGTGGAGCGACTGGTTAATTCACTCATGATGCACGGGCGAAACAATGGAAAGAAACTCATGGCCATGCGCATCGTACAACACATGTTCGAGGTCAGTTATAAATGTACTCTGATACGTCCCCAAAATAGCTGATTAACGGCTTTTCTTTTCTAAATCGATATATAATGGTCTATAATATGTTAATGAACGAAGCGAGTTTTCACTTTATAAGGTCATCATTTTTTTGTAATTTTTCCAGGATTTCTCATGCTCATTGCGTAATATAGCAAGGATAGCCGGTTACTGTGCAAATAGCACAGAATGTTCCGACCATAGTCTTAAAATTACATTTTTTTTTTCAAATTAGTGTCGTTTTTTCTGTGTTGATGAAAAAAATCTTAAAAAAATAGAAATTAGGTAGGCTAATGCGTCAGTCATAGCCAAACAAGGCAGTAAGAAAACACTTTTTGAAAAAAAGTGGCTAGAAACACGAAAAACCATTTAAATTTTTTTGAAGAATGTTTTTGAATTTTTGAAGTTGTTGGTTCTCAATATGGCGCTAAAAACTCCAAAAACTAACTTTACTCGGGTAAAACTGAGTTTTAAAGGCTTAATTGGAGTTTGAAAAAGATATTATAAGCCTGTACGCTCTCTTATTAGGTCGAAATTAGACCAAAAATCAAAAGTTTCAAACCGGTTTTTCTCGACACTGAGAAAGTTTTTTCAAAATTTTTAAATGTCGTTCAAATCACTTCTGAAAGGGTTTTAATATGACATATCACTCGACCCATTCCAATTATTGTTTTTGGTACTTAAAACAAAAAGAAAAAGTAACAAAAAACTAGAACAAGCTCAAGCAAATTCAAAGTTCCTCCACATTTTTCAAATGGTCGGAACAAAACTATGTTGGTCTCTATTTTCAAATCCAATAGACAAAAACGGCAGAATACCAGTTCAGCGTCCCCAGAATACTATAGACCCACAAAATGCAAAATTAAACAAGCATAGCCGGCAGCTTTGCAAATAGCACAGAACCTTCCGACCATACTCATAAAAAAACATAAAACGCTTTTTTATGTTTTTTTTATTTAGTGTTGTTTTTTGCGAGTCGTGTGATAAAAGTATCTGACGAAAACCTAGAATTAAGGCCTATTTCACAGTCAAAGTAGAACAGGAAAATCAGGCAAACGTTTTGTCGAAAAAAAAAGATAAAACAAAAAAAAATGTTCTGAAATTAGTTCAGAAACTTGAAAAAAATATTCTTTTTTTTTTGCCACTGGGACAACAGCGGTTCTCCGCGAAGAGTTGATCAGCTCGCATCTTGATCCTTTCTTTGGTGGATAAATCGTCTTAGCTGAGTTGCACTCTGGCATACGGTTTTTTTACTCAAATGTTTAAAATTTGAGTTCTCTCATTGCGGAGAGCGATTCGTGAATTGATTTCGTAGTACCGCTATAATTGTCATCTTCGTTTTTGCATTCTACAGGACTTCGACTGCAACATTTTTTAGTAATAAGAGTAATGAACGTAGTAGGTGCTCTTATATAGGTTTTGCTGATTTTATTCAGGAAAAAGTCTTAAAATTTGTTTGTCAATTTTGATTTTCCGCGGTTTGACTTGTGGTTTCTTTTTGAGTTCAGTGCATTTCCATTATCAAAAGGCAAACTCCACTATCGAGCAGCAAAAATGTAAAGCTCACAAAAAATGTGATCAAATTCTAATTTCGAAAATGGAAATTAATTGTCAGATTTCCCAGTGAAATAAAAGTTCTGCCTATTGATTCACTTTTCTCAAATTGGATTAGTTTTAACAAACAAATTGTTCTGAAAAGAGCTTTAAGGTCATCTGTTTTTTTTTCTTCGAAATTGAATAGTTGAAGAATTTTGAAAAAAAAAAAGTTTTTTTTTTCAGGTTCCTTGCGTTCATAGCTCTTTACACGATAGCTCGATACTGTATCTGTACACTGAATAGAACCTAATATATGTGCTATAATGGGCCGAATTCGGTGTCTATACGAATTCGGTGTCTATACTTGAAAAGATTTTTGAATTGTTTTTTTTTTGTAAATGTAACCTGAAGTTTCTGGTATTCTACTGGTGTTAAACTAAACAGTTATTTTTCTGTAGATCCTGTACCTCTACACTGACCAGAACCCGATAGATGTACTAGTGGATGCAATCATCAATGCCGGACCTAGAGAGGACTCAACTAGGATAGGGAGAGCAGGTACTGTCAGGAGACAGGCGGTGGATGTTTCTCCCCTGAGGAAAGTGAACCAGGCCATTTACTTCGTGTGCACTGGCGCCAGAGAAGCCGCATTCAGGTAATTTATTGTTTGAACTTGATAATCTGAATTTGAATGTGTATTGTTGTATAACTTCAAGATGTGTAATGTATAACGCTCATAATGTGTAATGTGTGTAGTGTATTGTAAACTTGATTGTGAATTCATGAATTAGTGTATTGTGAATTTTTTCGTTTCATCGAAATAGCCCCGAATTTCAGAATTTCTTGGGAATATTGAATAATGAGTTTCAAAAAACTTCAAATTTGCAAAGTTTATGAAAATTAATTTATTTGCAGGAGTGGCAAGACTATTGCAGAGTGTCTTGCTGACGAAGTGTTGAATGCCTCAAAGGGATCCTCCAACTCCTACGCTATCAAGAAGAAAGACGAAATCGAGAGAGTCGCCAAATCCAACCGATAAGTGGATGGAACTAAATGATGGCTGTCTCAAAGGACTTAGAGCTGACATGACATTTTTGATGTTCATTTAATTGAATTCAAATGTTTGTCTCTCTCGTTTTTAAATGAGTATTAGATGTATTAAAATATTCGAAGTGTTTGTCTACAAACAAAGAACGAAGTGAAGGTGAAATAATTATCTATTTAGTTTGTGGTTTTGGGTTTTTTTTTTTAAATAAAAGGTCCGAGAAGTTGTTGGTGCTCATTTTTTTGCTTGATGAGATTCTGTTGACAAATTTAAGGCAAATTACGCTGGAACAGCAAACGTGCAAATGGCGCGCATAGTTTTTAGATTATTAGAATATCTCTCTTGTTAATCATGAAGAAATCGTAAATTGAAATAGACTTCTTTCTTTCAAACTCAAAGGGTGATAATAATTTTTGGGTTTGGTTCCGCGTTCCTTAAGTGCGTTGTGACTGCGACCGTTTTTAGTGATAATTTGATTTAGTAAGGTTTTTGGGAAAAGTTCAAAAACGAGGCTTGAAAATAGTTAATTTTTCTGAATGCATTGGTTTTAACTGCTTAGCACATTGTTTTTGTATATTACACTAAATGAAGCATCTTCAAAGAGCTCGGTGTCGTGTGTAATGATAATTGATTTTTTGCGTAGATATTTTCAGTGCTGATGGTTTTGTTCTACCTTATTGATGCGAGCTAATTTATTTTACGCTGGTTGAGGACAAGTGCTGTTAAACCAGTTACTCGATTTTTCTTACCTATAAACAACTAGCTAAACTCGTCCTTAAAATTTAATAGTGCAAATGGTTAAAATGCTTACTGAGCCAGATAAGTGTTTTGAATTTCTGTCGGAATTTTCGACCAAGTAAATCAAATATTTTTCAGATGCATATTTTTGGCTGCAAGGGTTGAGCTACGATTATATGAATTTGTTTCAATATTTTTCAACTTCTTCGAAAGCTCAAAATCTGCTGGTTTTCACGCTTATTTCCGCGTTTCGCTAATTAATGGATTTTGAGTGAGTGTAGAAAAATGTTATTCGGCATGAAATTGTTCACTCTAATTACGAAAGCGCAAATGGTGCGAATAAACCTGACCGATTTCTAGATTGAAAACGAGATTTTAATTTTAAACTTAACAGCGGTATAAAAAGTTTACCCATTGATCCATTTTTCTCAAATTTAGTTAATTTTGTGAAAAAAGTATGTATATTAAATTGTCCTTCAATTTCAAAGAGCTTTGAGGCCATACGTTTTTTTCTTTAAAATTTGTAGGCTGAAGTTTCAGCCAATGCTAAGGAGTTTAACACAGACTATTATTGTTCCGACTTTCGTAACGAAAGTAACGGAATAATTGTACTCGGGGTAGTTGTTTTTTCTTCAGATAAATTTTGATTTTTTAACTAGCCATTTCTGACGGGATTTTGTTTTATACAATTTAAAAAGTATTGTTCTTCTGAGCTTAAATTTGGAAAGATTGTTCACCTGTAATCGTTTTTCGTAAAGTTATGGGGGTTTGAAAGTTTCCATTTGGGCCAATTTGGGACAATTAACGCGCGATATATTTCACGCGAATGTCCCACGTTTCGCTCCACACACGTTTCGCCCCTCCTAAATCTAGTGGCACATTTCGCCGCTCACACATTTTGCCCCTAATAATTTTTTGCATTTCGTCCTCGCACGTTTCGCCCCTAACGTTTTACACTGTTAATTAACGCCGCTTTCTTAATGTACATTTTAGGGGCGAAATGTGCCAGTAATTCATGAGGGACGAAATGTGTGTGCGACCATACTTTTAAAACGGTTCAAAAGAATTATAAACGCAAATTTGGTCAATTTGAACGATTAACCCGTGAATTATTTTGCGCTATTCACGCGTAAGCGGAGATTCAATCAGTCACAGAAATTGTTCCAAATTGGTCGAAGGAAGCTTTTTTGCCATAATTTGTTTGTTTCTAGGAGCGAAACTTCTCACTTTGTACTTAATATGGCGTGTGGGGGTATGATTTTCACAAAAAATTTCATATAAAATTTTCATTTTATTTTTATTATATTTATTTTTTTCATGTTATTACTGCTCCATAGACGGCTCTATAAATTGAGGCATGTTAGTTGGTACTTTTTTCTTCAAGATGACTGATACTGCTAAAGCGTCATAATTGGCGTGGTTCACTTGAGAAATTTTGAAGACTCAAAGTTTTTCTCATTCAGTTTTTCCTGTAGCGTTATTGGTCATGTTTCTGATTGTGTATGCGAAGTGCAACTTCGCCTCTGTGATTAAAAATACTACGCCTAATGTAGTATTGGAGGTGAAATTGTCGACCTGTTGTGTGTCTGATCTGATTATGTTTGGTCGGCTTAGTGCCTTGTTACGGATTTTTGCTTGGCTGTAATTAATTTTTATTGTAATTGAAAGAGCTATGATTTGTTATGTAATTTGTAGACTAAATGAGTTTGTACTTTTTTCGCTGCTTGGCTTAGCTTCGATTGTTTCGGTGCGTATTTTATTGAGTAATTGACCTAATTAAGCATTTTATTAAAGGAAAAATAGATTTTTACGCTTTTTTGTTTCCAATGGGGTGATCGTAAAACTTAAGATTTTCAGTAAATTTCAAAAGATTTTTCAATTGAAATCAATTTTGCTCAATGGGAGTCTAACCAACTTTTGCCAAACCAGCTTTGCGTCTGTGTACAAATGAAATTTTTTTCCGGTAAAAAATGAATTGAATTTGTCGGACTTTTGTGTGTTCAAGTTTTGTCGGCTTAGTTGCCACATCACAAATTTTGCTTGTGCTGTAAGCAACTTTCATTGTAGTTGCAAGTGCAAGTTTTGTTCATTGTAGATTCAGGGGAGCTTGTTTTTTTCTTAATAATTTTTTTTCGGCTCAACTGGTGTCAGATTTTCAGCTTCGTTGCCACATCGCGGGTTTTACTTGTGCTATAAGCAGCTTTCCTTGTAAATGCAAGTGTTGTGCAATGTAGTTTAAGGGAGACTTAAAAGTTTCTAAATTTTAAAAAATAAATTAATTGTTTTTTGGCTCCATTTGTGTCTGCATAAAGGTTGTCGGCTTTGTTTCCTCTTTATAAGTGTCGTTCTTTTGCTAGTTTAATATTCAAATGTCTAGTATCTTTGCCTCAAATGAACTTCAACCGATACTTATGAAAATTTAAATTTTGATAGAACTAGTTTTTTCAAAATTTTTCTTTTGTTTTTTGCCTTTTTATGTTTTTATGTTTGCTAGTATCAAAAATGATGCGATGCTCCGCTTGGCCTCTCTGTCGAAAAGTGTCAATCATAATGTTACAGAAATTTAGATAATTTCGAAGTTTAAAGGGCTTTATGGCCATTTACTTCTTTTTGAAAATCGCAAATTTAAGGTTGCTTAAAATTGACATTAGAAGGCCAAACTGCGGCCAATTTGGTGTGTGTATGAATCTTGAGTCCAAAGACAAGTCTTAACACATGTTAAAATTTTGTCGGAACGATCAAATAAAACGATAGAACAAGGCAAGTCAAAGAGGGCACCCCTGTTGCGGAATCCGCTTACAATTCACAACATGCACTGTTTGGCCTCGCTATGAAATAATTTTAATTTTTCAACCTGATGGCTATCTTCAACCATCATATTGCTTTCAAGAAGCGTGCCTAAAGTCAAATGTTTGCTCAAAAAATTTCAATGTGAAATCTACATACACGTGCACAGAACATACACGTGCACAGAACTTGCACAGTGCATAGAGTTTTTCTACAATTTCTTGAGATAACACGTACGCTCAAGTTTCAATAAATGTTTTTTTCCAACGTATGCACTAATAATCCCGATCTGTAATATTGGAAATCGCGGGTCTGATCCAGACAGTGAACTCAATAGGAAACTACGAGGAACAGTAAAGTAAACAAATAAGAAGCAAGGCACCCAATTAGAAAAAACAATTAGCCGAATAATTAATCACTTTTTATTACAGCAGTTAGTTTTTTTTTCTTTCGTCTTGAGGACAAGCAAATTGTGCATCAATTAATTGCTAATTGCAAATTGTGCATCCCCACCAAAACGTCTTGAATTTGTTTTTTTTTCAGCTCCTGTTTAAATTCACTGCCTAGATGAGACCCGTCTCCTAGTATTTCACTCGAATAAGCATATCTTGTTTTTTTAGACCCTATTTTGATGCACTAGCAGATTGTATATCAATTAATGAATTTCTTAAACATCTTATTTTGAAGTAAATTTAATTTTTTACAATAATTTCTCGGCAATGAACCAGATTTTGAGCAAAGCTTGTATCATTTCTGCGTAACTAATGTCAGTCGTTTGTTCAGCACTTTCGTTTGACAGCTTGTGTACAAACAAATCAGATAAAACCTAAAGATGATTTTCGATTTGAATCTATCGTTCATAAATTCTGATTAACTGAGCATCATTGAGATGAAACTTTGCAGTAAGCAGGGCGAAACAGATTTCGTCCTAAGACAGATTTTTTGCAAAAAAATGATAAAGTTGACCTTTCTGTAATCCGTGTCAACCATTATTTTGAGGCCAAAACGCCTGTTCGCTAAAAACATCTCTTCCTATAGCAGCTTAAACTTGAACTTAAACAGTTGTTTTTTTTTCAAAGTTAACGGAACTATAGCGAAGAACTAAGCAATAAAATTAATCGATTTTAGTAATCTTCTTTCATAGATAATATTATTAGATTAAAAGATTATTTAGGGTTTATTTTTCCGCCACACTCTAAATTAGTTTGAGGCCATAGTACTGATTTAATTTTATCATAGAATTGTTGAAGGCCATTTAGTTTAATAATTGCTAGATGATATTTAAAACTAACGGTTTGTCTCGGCTGAGACTTTGTTTTCACATGTAGCTAAACAGGTTATGGACTAAAACAAAGTTATAACACCGTATTGTTTTGTTTACTTTAGTCACGCCTTCTCATTTTACATGCTGTAGGCAGCCCTGCCCCCTGACTTAAATAAGGTCATCTAATTGTCATCAACCATTTAGGCCCACCTCCCCTCAAATATTTGTTCAAATTATTCTACCTTTTTGTGAAAAACTTCATTATCTTGTTTCAAAAATCTCCATATACGGTTATGAACCATTCCAAATTAGGCAAAACTAAATCTGATTTGGGCAAAGTTTTGATCACATTGGCAGCTGAAGTCTTTTGTCCCGAATATTGTCTAAAGTTCAGTTTAACCTTTAATAAGAATTCAAAATTCTTTTATTTTTTTGAAATCAAACACGTAAAGAATGTATTTTGTTGACTTATGCTTCGCGATTATAACGTAATAGTCTTCTTTGAGCAAGTACACGCCATCAGAAAACATCTGATAAAGATATACATTCTACTATTTTAATCTACATCTTAGCTCATTCAGAAGTTGATTTTTATATTTAGTTATTATCGGATTATAAATTGTAACCGTAAGTTCGCCTTAGTTAGCCTTGAAAGCTAAACTTTCAGAAGTTGGTTGTAATCTGGATTCTACCTAAAAGAAAACTAAATTTTGAATAAAAATTTGTTTCAAAATTTTGCAGAAAAAATATTGATCTATCGAATTCAGACATTGGCAGAGACTTCATTAAATAACTGCAAAATTTGCGCCCAATTTTGAGATAAAAATCTACTCTGAAGCCGCACAATGAAAGCTCTCGTGAACAGTTTGGGAGAGAAGCGGCTGAAACTTGCGGAGAGACCTCTGCCAGCAGCTTTGGATGGAGACGAGGTAAAAAAAAACTTGAACCAAATAACCAAAACTAGACAAAAAAATTTTAAGCTGGGGCGCAACAGCGATTCTGGATGAAGAACTGAACAGCTTGTATATGTTGGTACTTTCCTTTTAGGATAACTCGTCGTGGTAGCTATATTCTAGAAACCCGATTACCTTTACGTTAACTTTCAGTCCCGGAATCCGTTATAAATGATGGAAAACGGATATCTTCATTTTTCACCTAATGCAAATGTTGTAGGGAGTTTTTATAAATCTGGGTACAAGTTAGCAAATAATTCTAACGGTTGAACTATTTCAATAAATGGGTAGATATTCTTTTCTGGGTATCATACAAGAGAAAACCGAAATAAAAAAGAGATATTGGAGAGTTATCCATCTATTATATATTTAAATGCGGGCTTCATTATCTCGCCGCGTTTGAGTTTTTTCAACGTAAAATTTTTGTATTTTTATTTAGCGAATATTTTCACGTTTAAGCTATATCAAATAATGCAATTTTTAAGGACTTTTTTCGATTTTCCAGTTTGATTTCAGCGTTTCATTTCACCGAGTTGAAGCAGCCCTATAGTGGGATGGTATCGAGATTTCCCCAGGGTTGCAATTTTGGCCTACAAATATGAAAGCCCAAATCTTTTAAGTGTACGAGATACGACGGTTTCTGTGATTTTTTCACAAATTTTCAGAAAACACAAAATACAAAATAATTTTAAATATGTGAAATTCCTAACCCTGTTGTTGCGTGTTGTCAGAGTACTCTCAAGGATTGCGAATCTTGCCTCCAAATATGACTGCTCAAGTTTTTGTAGTTATCAAGTTATGACGTGTTTTATGATTTCTTTATTATTTTTTGAAACATTTAGATTTTGAAAAGATTTAAAATTCTCAACTTTGTAGGTAGGTACTATAAGGGTACTCTCAGGAGTTAGAACTTGCAAATCTTGTGTCTAAATGCGACTGCTCAAATGCTTTTAGATTCCGAGGTGTGACGTTTGTTATGTCTTTTCTTTTAAAATTGTTCAAAGAACTTTGATATAAAAAACTTCACAAAGTTGTATGGTTTTTCAAATTTTGAATTAAAAGACTTGAATAAAAACCTCTACACAATTTGAAATTAGCAACCCCGTAATTGGGTGCTGTCAGAGTACACTCAAAGGACGCAGATCTTATTTCCAATTTCAATATAAGTGGTTTTTTATGAGCTGTTAAAAATTCGAAGGACCGGAGATGCGTTACACGCTAGTTTTATTTAAAGCTGTTATTTATTCAGCTGCTAAGCTGTATATGATTGTTACCCAACAGACCAAAACTCGTTTTTGGAAATGTTCAATTAATGTTAGAAAACTTACTGTAATCATGAAGTAGGACCAGTTGTTCAATAAACCCAAGAAAGTTTCACTGATGTCGCTGGAATTCCAGTTTTATCTCCAGAAGTACAGGTCAAAAATGGACCTACGTGTAGTAACAAACTGATTGGCCGCTGCTAAAAAAAAATGAAATAAACAAGCTTTGTTTTGCCAAATTTCCCACCTTTTTGTTATTCTCTCCTTCGTTTTTTTTCGACTATACAATAAGTAAACTAGTTCATAATTTATCGAAATTCGAATGAAAATCTATTTTTTTTACTGACTGGTCTTTAACTTAATTAAATTTTTTGTCTAAATAAATTTTTATAATATACTGAAATCTAACAGTTGAAATCTCACTGATTTGTGTTTTTCCTCCTCACAGGTGTTGCTGAAGATGGTAGCTAGTGGAGTGTGTGGGACTGACCTGAAGCTGGTGGAGGGCAAGATCAGTGGGGCGAGCGATGGGGTCATCATGGGCCATGAGGTCAGTCATTTCCAATTCCCATAGTCTTTATCAATATATTGGCGTGCAATAATTTGAAGAATAAAACGTGCATTCAATTTTTAAGTTATATTTCGGAATCTTAGATAAATATACTGCACTGAAACAAAAAAGTGAAGAAATTAAAGAATCACATATACGAAAATTAAAGAAACTATTAAAGAATCACATTAACGAAAATACAAAAACTAATTGCAAACATTGAAAGCCACATATCCAGTTAAAACATTTTTTGTTATATAAGGGTTAAATATGTATAAAACATTTTTAATGGGATAAATCGTAAAAAAAAACAAATTTTATTTACATGTAAAATTTCAGCAAAGAAATGGAAACTAACAGTATGTATAGCTGATACAGCCATCACGATATTTTCGTAGCCTTTAACTACAAGGCATTTTTACATTTTACAATCTCCAGTTTTTTTATAGATGCCTTCAGTTTTTTTTAGATGTTTCATTATAAGCGTTAAATCGGCACAAAAGAATTTAGTTTCTGGTATGTGGGCTTGGTAACCGAAGTTATTTTTCATGCTGAAGGGAATCAAAGTTTCTTTTTTTTACTCAGGTTTTTGTTCATTATGTTTTTCCTTAACTCTACGGGGTCTGCTCAACTAATTTTTTTCTCCTTATTTAACAAGAAATGTCGCTTTAGAAATGATTTTCTAAAGTATATTTTTGTGATATGAAATATTTGGTAGATGTATCGTAAGAAAGTTTTTATCAACACAGAATCCGCAATTTTTGCAATTGAAACACAAATATTTGTCATCTGAGTTGGCCTGGTGGTAACGTCATGCCCGGGAAGCTAAAGTGTCTGAGTTAGAACCAGGACTAGGAGCTGTTTCTACTTGCAAACTTAAAAAATTCTGTTTTGGAAAATAAATGTCGGTTTTATATTCGACTTTTCGTCAGTTTAATTGAACTACCACTTTCTTGCTATTTAGGCAGTGTTTAAGCGTAATGAACATAGTGAAGATTCTTATATAGGTCTTGATGATTTTTTCCGGAAAAAGTTTTAAAATATTGATGCACATAAGTATAATGCACTTTTTGAGTTCAATTGAAATTCATCTGCTGAAAGTGACGTAAATAGCACTCTCCAAACACGAACGTGGAAATGGCTCATAAAACGTGAACTATTTCTAGTTTTAAAAATAGAATTTGTTTTTAAAATTTCCCAGCGGGATAAAAACTTTACCTATTGATCCAGTTTTCTCAAGTTGGATTCATGTAATCAAAAAAGCGGCAATCATAAATTGTTCTAGAAAAAGCTTAAAGGGTATCTATTTTTTCTCTGAAATTCGAAAGTTATGATTTTTTTAAACAATGACTCTGTTTGTTTTATGTTTACTTGCGTTCATTACTCTTTTCCAATCTTCGATTGGCTATGTTTTATATTTAAAGTCAAATTTGATTTATTCCTGTAAGTTTTAATTTCATCAACTCTAATTATGTATAGTTTTTTTATGTTGTTTTGTTCTCTCAATTGGTTGCGGTTTATTGATTTTCGGCTTAGTCGCCTTTTTTGGCGTGTTTGGTTAAGTAGTAAAGCCTTTTTAGTCGTGATTCTCAGTGTTGAGAAAAATCGGTTTGACATTTTTAATTTTTGGTCGAATTTTGAGGTAATAAGTTTTAGTGAAGTCTTATTATAGCTGATTTAAGCCGTGAAAGCTTAGTGTTAGTCTACAAAAATATTACAATTTTTTTCTAGTCTCTTCCTGCAAAAACTGTTTTCCAATTGGCAGATTTGACTTTTTTTCATCAGACCACACAGAAAAAACAACAATTTGAAAGTTTTTCTTACGATTATGGTCGGAACATTCTGTGCTATTTGCGCAGTAACTGGCTATCCTTGTTATATTATGGTTTCAGAAAGCCTTTATTTATAGATACTCGAAGTGTACGATTATTGGGTTGATAGTACATAAGCAATGATAATCATTAATGTATTCTGAATCCTATATCTTGTTTTGAGTCTATCACACTGCAAGTTTGCCTGGAAGTAATTTCGTCAAAGTGGGGAAAACCACAACTTTTATTCTTCAAACAACGCACATAACAAGAACATTGGTCGTTTTTCCAGACATCCAAAAACGACTTAAATTTCAGAGTGTGGGCGACATTGTGGAAGTGGGTGCGAATGTGGACTCGGCTCTCTATCCGATCGGGTCTCGGGTGGTGATGCAGCCGAACATAGTGTGTGGCAACTGTCCGAAGTGTGACAAGTACCAGGGTATAAACGACAATTTCTGCGACAACCACTCCGCCTATGGAATCATAGTCGACGGGGGCTTGAGCGAATACGCCAAATTCAACAAGAGGGCAAGAGACTACAAATTTTTTTCTTGTCAAAACTAGACCGTGAATTGAGCGTTACTACAAATAAAACATAACTGAGTTTTGATGTAACAAATTTATGCAACATAAAAGTGTGGACATTTGAGTAATTTTTACATTTTTCAGTTGTGCGAATTGTTCTTATGTCATGATTAAGGATTGCCAGTAGCATATTGTTTGCCAGTAGGACCAATTCAGCGGTTTAGTGTATACTAATTTTGTACATTATAACGCGTATTGCTGGTGCGGGGGGGAGCTACCCTTTTCCTTCTCAAATTTTTCTTTGCTCTGCATGTGCAAACTTTACCCTGAAAAGATTTGGGCGCTTTTGCGAAGATGATTTTACATTTTACAGAATAAAACTCTTACGCTGTCTTAAAGTCGTGGATTGGAAAATTTTGAAGCTAATATTTAATTTCCGCTAAAACACGCCTCTTTATTTTTTAGAATGTCCGAAGGATCCCAGAGGAGTTCACATCCATCAGTTCTGCTCTGATTGAGCCAATCGCGTGTTTACTTCATGGCTTCTGGCGCATAGAAGCAGCAGTGGCTGAAGTTCGACAGCCCAAATTCCTCGTCATCGGAGCCGGAATGATCGGACTTCTCTGGTGCCGAATCTTCCAGTGCGAAGGTCAGAAGATCAAACCCTGTCGGACCATTTTTGTATCTTTGAGTTACATCGCTGATTGCGTAAAATACGTGATTCAAATACTCTTTCTTAGCTCTTAGCCTCCTTCATCATCTTAAAAAGAGCACATCAAAACTCAGCGTTGATGTCAAAAAATTTTTCTACGATATTTGCGTTATTTTTAAATTCCAATATTATTTCTGAGTCTGAAGTTTGTGCTTCTTAGATTTTGTTTTGGCATAAATTTGTTTTGTTTTTGTGTCAGCAATCAATCAGCTCCTTAATTTTTTAGGTTATTCGGATATTTTCTGTACTGACCAGTCGGAAGAACGAATGAAGATAGCTGAAAACCTCGGCGTGAAAACTGTGAAATCATCCGACTTGAGTGGAAACAACCATGACGATACTTATGATGTAATCATTGACTGTACAGGTTATGCGCCTTGTTTGACCTTGGCGGTTGAAAAAGTCGCGAAAGGGGGAACTATTTTGGTGTTCGGCTGCTGTGCCGAGAAAGCTGTCACCGAAGTTCGTCCTTTCCAGCTTTACGAAAAAGAGGTTCGAATTATGGGAAGCATAATTTACGAAACAGAAAAGGAGTTTGATCACGCGATTGAGTATGTCTGGAAAATGGAGCAAAAAGGTCTTCTAAATCTAGACGACTTCAAAATTGGGAAGTATGGCTACCATGACGTGGAAGAAGGTTGGGAGAAGCTGATGAAAAAAGAGATCCCTAAACTGATTCTGATTCAGTGATAATTGATTGTAATAACCAATTTGAATCCCCATAATCGTCATATTAAACTGGTGATGCTCGGTTTGTAATTTTTTATAAGTAGTTATACAGAATTCGGCTCGGATAATAAAAAAAGGTAATCAATCTATCTTTTTATCGATTAAGGAATTCATATAGATTTGCTTTATTTTCTCTGGGCTAAAACGCCATTTAATGCTGAGCTTACAAAAGAAGCGTAAACGTAATATAACTGATCTTCGATTATTTTATGTGAAAGTAAGCTGCGTGGTATCGCAGAACAATGGTTTCAATTCAAACTCGCCTCAACCCTTTGCAACCTAAACATGCCGTTTAGGTTTGCGGATAGATTCAGTCTTATCAGTAAATGAAAAAGGAAAAACTTTAAAGTGTTTGCAACTTTTTTGTCATATAAGTTCTATAATTTAAGACAAGTCACGTGATACACTAACAATTTTTTCATGTTTTTGTATTTGAAAAAGACCCAAATAAAAAAAGATCAAGTTGAAGAAAATGTTTTTGTATGATACTGTCGATAATTGAGTCAGTCAGGTGTATACCTCAGAACTCTATCATTAACTACTCAGATGAAATTCAGTATGTTATCGTACTAACTCCTTCCAAAATCTTCATTAGCCTTATTGATACTGGTTTCAAACAACTGATAGAGTCAGCTGATGATCTAAGAAAGTTTAAGTAATCTTTAGTTTAACAATCAAATGATATCATATTTCCCTTCCGTATAGTAGGGTAGGAGAGCAAGCTTCCATTATAATCGTTACTCTGCATGGATATAAAGATCATCATCACCATCAAAAATGTTATAAAAACAGCAATTTATTGAATTCGAGGGTGTTTTGCATTTCATTTTTGTAAAAACACAGTTCGTCTAATTTTAGTTGTTAGTCGTCACGCTAAATTAGGCTGAAGCTTTTATCAGCGTCGGTTGTCTGCGCTTGAAGACCTTAAGCTTAAAAATCATCATATGTTTTGTAAAACAAACAGTTTGAGTTTTCTATACTTTTGTAATAGAATCGGAAAAAATCTTTGACAAATCTTAGTCTTTTAAAAATCAATCCTGACGTTAATCATTTAAGTTTCATCCTGAAAAAAAACTTTTTGACCTATGAAAGTTATTCAGTTTTTACCCTTAATCATAATTCACCCAAAATGAAATTTTTAGCATTGTCAAAGTTAGAATTGGTAAATTTAGGATCAGCTCATAGGAAATTCAAATTATTTTTTGCGCCTCCGGTACTTTTGGTT